TGTCATTCACATCTCTCTGTTACAAAATCACGTGTCTCCTTTCTGTGCTCTTCACAGCCTGCAACAGGTGTCATAAGTGAGATTACAGTGCAGTACAGTACATCAAGAGCACAGGAAAGGTAAGAAAAGCTTCTTAACATCATTAGTCTTCATCAACATACCATGTCATCTGAGGCCAACTTGTGCCACCAATTCAGTTTCCAGTCAAAAGGAGAAACATTTAATGCTGCACATGTTCTGGTTTCTGTTACTTATGTGATAAATAAATTAAAGCATTCTGTTTTTCCTCAAAGAATATTTACATTTTCCTTCAGATTTTAAGACAGGGAGCAGTCTGCTCATTTTGAATTTTTATTACAATAATCAGTAACATTTTACATTAACCTCACCTTTATTGTGCATTCAGAGAACATTCATAAGCACCATGTAAGTATACTTTAGCATCCAAACATACTTAACAGCTTAAATGTCCATAATAACATAATTATTTGATTATAAAATCATATACATCAATGTATATCTAAGGTGTTAAGGAATGTTATGGTGCTATGGTGCACATACATGCTGCTTATGAATGTTCTATGAATGCAGATTATAAAGGCATTATGAAGGTGCAGTTAATTTAAAGTTTACCCAGTAACCTGTTTTTGCTATTATTTTTGACCACACACTAATAAAAAAATAGTTATACCAGTAATAAAATAATAATAATGGGAAGATGTTTCAGTGAAAGTTATAAACAAAAAAAATCAGACTAACATTTTCTTCATAAGTTCAGTAATAAAATTAGGGTTAGCGAAAATTTCTAAAATTTACAAAAATAGAAAACAGCAAAGTTGTTATCGTTAAAATCTCAAGGGACTGAATAATGAAAATGAAAGATCAAAACTGATTTTGAGGGGGTTATTGAGAAATTATATGCAACCACCAGTGGTTGATGATTGCATACTGTAATGAGCAATTATTATTTCCAGTTGGTCACATCCTCGCAGGTTTAATTTTAAAGGCACAGTACAAGTCCGCTGCTGCCAGAACCATAGTTCATGCTTAACTTCATAGTGGGCTCACCATGGTGCTGGACCGTCTGTGATGCTGAATTTTCATACTTCTAGTGCCAAACCACCAGGCGATCGTGCACTTTGATGTCAGGCTTGGGGTAGCGCTGTAGTGCAAAGCTGCTGTTAGAAGTCATACTTGTCAAGTGTGGCAATAAGAATTTTAACAAAAGTATGCAATATATACATCCAGTACACAAAGCATCGTCATTATCATTAAACATTTCCATAAAATTAAATAAAAGACACGAAAATAAAATAAAACTACAACCAGATGAGAACAATAAATGGTAGCACTTTACATTAAATGCACCTTCATAATGCATTCATAGTACATTCATAAGCAGCATGCAAGTACACCTTAACATCCTAACATCCCTTAACAGCTTTAATATACATTAATAACAAACATTACATGTTTATACAATTATAATGTTTATTATTATTATATTACAGCTGTTAAGGGATGTTAAGGTATACATACCTGATGTTTATGAATGTTTTATGAATATTTAATGAATACAATTATGAAGGTGCACTGAATATTTTATGAATGCAATATAAAAGCATTATGAAGGTGCAGTTAATGTAAAGCTTTACCCAATAAATATTGCTTCCAAAATACCGAAATAAAATAAATACTTTACTGTTTTAAAATATTGTTTAGCTAAATGAATGATTTGGTTATCTTTGGACTTCTTGTGCACTGCACTTTAACCATGGAAATAGTGAACAGCACTACATCGCAACATTTTGTATTAGCTAGCTAAGTTTCAGTGTATCCCTAGAAATACAATTGTGAAAACCTAAAATAAAAATAAAATAAAACAGTGTTCATAGAAAGTCTTTTGCTGCTTCCTTAATTCTGTAAAAATGTTGCAAATATACAACAAAAGTTGATTAACAATGATTAACATAGCCACACACTTTCTTTTTGAGTATTATTATTTTTAAAAGATAAAAAGTGATAAACATACAAAAGAATATTTAACAAATTTTAAATCATGTTTTTCATCAAAATGACCAATCAATTTGAATGTCAGTAATATACATAATGCTACGATATTGCATCATTGCGTAATGACGCCAACATGCACTGATATCATGATGTCATTTAGCAACTTTTAGCAACAAATTGAGCTGCCTCTAGCAACTGCCCCTGAAAATTAGTTAGCAGCACTAGTAACTGCACTCAAAGTCAGTGTGCTCCAGGTCCTAATAATGATGGTTACAGTGGCCTGCCTGTTCTCTTTATGAACTCTGGCACATCAGAGTTTACAGATTAAGCACTGCACATTTCTCCATACAATTGACCTTTCCACATGCTCCTAATTAGTTATGGAGGTGACCTTAAAGTATTGTTCTTTGATTAAAACTCAGTCAACTGGCCAAGACCAAAATACACTGAAAATTTGAATAACCCACTAGCCGTCTAAGATCAACATGGACGTGTCAGCTAGCAGTAACCAGGGTCAGAACGCAATGTAGTGAAGCTGCATTTAGCTTTTATGCAGGACTGGACAATCCTATAGGTGACCGCCTAGGACGCTGACTCCTGAGAATGCACCGACTTGCCAGCCACTTTCACTTGGCCTCAGATAGCTGGGTCCAGCAGTGATGCTCACCTAGGGCATCGTATTGGCTACAGTAGGTCCTGTACTGATATCATCCCACTCATTGTTGGAAACAACTTCCATAAGATCCTGGATGTTTTTTTACTTTAGAGACTTTCAAATTAAAACTGAAAACATCCCTCTTTCTTGCATTCATTATCGAGCACCATTAAGTTGCACTTTATTCAGTTTGTTTATATTTTATGTAGCTTTTGTTTTTTTTTTCTCTTTCAATTGTAATATACTTTATATGTTTTTTCTTCTATGCCATATTTTTCATTATAAGTTATTTTTTGAGCATTGGACTTAGTATCTTTCAGTCTCTTCTAATGTGAAGAACTTTAAATTGCATGAGAGATGCCATACAAATAAACTTGAATTTCCTTTAATCATTCTGGCCATTGTCTTCTGACCTCTCATTAACAAGGTGTTTTCAATCATATATTCATCACTGAATGAAAGTGTTTATTTATTTATATATTTGATTGCACCATTCTCTGTAAAGTGCTGTAGTTTCTGAAAATGTAAGGGGGAGTGGCTATTTCTAAAGCACTGGAACCACCACATCTGACAACAGCAGTTATACCACCTATAAAATCTCTCAGATTATGAATTTTTGTATCAAAAGTATGGTTAATTTGGTATATCAACATTTCATATCTTTACTCTTTAATTTAGGTATTATCCACATCAGTATATGTCAAGACTACTCCAGGACTCCCCTCCATGCCCAACTGGATGCCTCTAAGGTTAGGTGCACTTCTACCAATACATCCCCTCTTAGTTAATTGCCGTGTTTCTCTCATAGCTAACTCACTGGCAGAAATACCCAGCGCCAATCCCCCAAGCTTTTCAAAGCAAGGAAGCAGCAGTATGACTTTTGGAATATGAACTAGTAATAGACAGCTAAATATGTGGACACAGTAACCGTTCTTGGATGTAAATGTACATTTACAATTATTTAACAGATGCATGTGTCCAAAGCGATGCGTCACAAGTGTGACAAATAGCATAATAGAGCCATGCAAGTGAAGGTGTCAACTAAGCTGAGTTTCCAAGGTGTGTGTAGTAACAGAACAAGAGCTATATGATGCATTTCAAACATCACAATAAATCACACAGAAATGTATAAATATATAGTATATAGACAAAAGTAGCAAGACACCAGCTTGTCCAACATCTAACTCTGAATCAAAGGACATTAATATGAAGCTGGTTAACCCTTTAGTTGCTGTAATAGCCTGTACTCTTCAGGGAAGGCTTTCCATTAGATACTGGAATATTGCTGGTGGGATTTGCTGCCATTCATGTTTGGGTATTGATGTTAGGTGATCAGGTCCCTTTCTGTGAGTTTGTGTGTCCTACCACTTCACAGCTGAACTTGCTCCCAGATGTTTCCACTTCACAGTCACTTTACTTGTGGGTGACCCAGGCAGCTCTAGCAGGACAGATATGTGGAGAACTGACTTGTTGGAAAGGTGTCCAATGGCATCCAATGATGGTGCCAGGTTGACGAACATCTTCTGTATGACCATCCATTCTGCCGCCATTGTTTAATACTGGAGAATGCATGGCTGTGTGATTAATTATACACCAGTGTGTCAGCAGTGGGTGTGGCTTAAGTGTCCTCTTCCTGTAATTACTATGGGTGTCACTGTATTTTTGTCCATATAGTGTATAATGAATGCCACACTTTTATATATAAAACTGTGGATTTGTTGAAGACAAATTAAATCATATAACTAGGTATTAAGGTCTGCAAGACAATTGAACTCGAGCTCAAACTTTCTCAAATTCCATCTGTCTCATTAAATATCCGACAGCTACATTTTACATACATTTAGAATTTTCGTCATAACTTTTCCTGATGTACTGATGTAACACACCTTCCTAATAGCACAAGAAGCCTAAGCATGCATATGACCTGTTATGACACATTTTTATCTGAAAGTCTAGTTCCTAATCTACTGTATCATCTGCTTCCTGTTGTTCAGTGAACATAGAAATGACAGCTGTGTAAGAAATATTCAGGAAGCAGATGTCAAGACAAATACCTTGATAGACCTTGATCAGGGGTGACGTGCGGTGACCTTATCATTCATTCTATGATTAGAGTGAAGATGTTTCAGTAAAGATTCATACAGATAAACATCTATCTTCCTTACTGGACAGAGATTAAGAGGACAAGAAATACAAAAAAAAATCATCAAATATAATGTGAAAGCAGTACTAAAGAAAACTTCTGTGAATTTTAATTGCTGAAGATTTAACTTCAAAATGACTAAGCTTTGAAAAAAAATGTAAAACACTTTGTTTCTATTTTGATCTAGAGATGGCAATACAAAAGTTGTCATTAATCACCATCTTGATGGTAATATGCAAAATTTTTGGAACTGAGGAACTCATGGAAAGCCCAGATTATCTTTCCCGGGTAAGTGATCTTTACACTAAAGAATTCTCTTACACTAAATGCATTCATTTTAGAATTATTCCTCAAAATAATAATAAAACTTTAAATAAGAAGTAAGTAAATGTATAAGTGCCACAGTGAGGTCAAGGCAGAGAACAGCCGTTGCCCTGCAGTGCTATTTGAAAACTGACTCTGCCAACTGGAACTGAGGGGTGTGGAAAACTGTGAGCTGTGTCCTGTCAACAGGCAAGTTTCAGCCACAAGCCTGTAGATGAAAGTATAGAATCAATACTCAGAGAATATCTTAGGATCATCCTTTCTTTTTGTCTTTTGGTATTATACAAATGTAATACGTCAATGCGTTATAGGGAACTTGCTGACGCTAGTGATATTTAATACTATATTAATTGGCTAATTGGGTGATCTTCAGAGTAAAGGATTCGATTATTTCCCTCAGAGCTGAGCAGGGTTATTATGGTCAACAAAAACTAAAACTGAAAGGAAACATTTTCATAAATTGAAATAAATAACTAAGATAAAAAAACACAACCAGCCAACCAACCAAAAAAAAAAATGTTAACCAAATAAAAACTATTAATAATGCTTCTGACTGTTGTCATAATGTGTCACTCAGGTCCAAAAACCGAATGACACATTATGACAACAGTGATGTTTATGACAACAGTCATAAACATCAATAATGTGTCATTAATGTGCATGACATGTGTCATGTCATTCTTATGGAGGTTACATGTCACCCTTATGTAGACTGCTTCAAGTAAAGTGTTACCGGATTATCATTAAGAAAGGATTTGTGTTTTGAAGCATAAACCAAATGTATACATTTTAGGTAACAAACTTGGATGTCAGCATTCCAACAGAGGAATTCAGGCAAAACAGACAAGGTAAGGACATGTGTACACACTGACCATTATAAATGAGATTCAATGATCATTAAAGACATAATTTCTGAAGTACGGTTCTGGGAAAAATTGGGGAGCATGTATGCAGAGACATTTCGCCAGATAATATTTATTATATTAAATTTTTTTTTGCTTAATGAAAGTTTGATGTTTGGTGCATTTTATTCTACCAGCTTCATATCCAGCAGAGGCCAATAAAAATGTTAAGTCGTATAATAACCCACATGAACACAGTACACCAAAATTAACCTTAATAAGACATTATAAGCATAATTTATGAAAGTCCCCCTTTATCCATGGGTGATGCGTTTTACTACCGTAAATGGTTGAAACCACGGATAATGGGACACCATCTGTGGACCCCATATATAATTGATTTTCACACGGTAAGATAATACTGTACTCCCTCACTCAAAGGAAAGGGATTCTGAAATGTTAGCCTGTGTCACAAGAGATGATAGAGAAATGAAAATATGTATCAAGAGATGATGGAGCAATACAAATCACGCCTTTATTCATTTTTATAACACAGACATTATCTCACATGTATGCTGTAAAAGATTCTGTTTTCTGAGCTTTCAACATTCAATAAATTTAGATAAATATAAATGGATTTCTCGGTATGGAGTAAAATCAAAGGCAACTTATACAATAGTACTTTCTGTATTCTTAAGAAAAACTATACTTCTTTAAAAAAAAAAAAAGAAAGTGCTAAAATAACTAATTCCTAAAATTTTATATTTACATAAAGATAGATTTTATTTAATATTTGAATGATCACTATTCTTCTCATATTGTAAAATGTACCTTCAAACATCCAGGATTTTGTAAACGCCAGCCGCCATTGATCTTCAAATAAGTAATGGATGAATTAATCACTCAGTAATTCTCTTTTTTCTTACAGCTATCGAAATTGAAGTGGACTATGTCATTGATATTGAAGTGACAGTTTCAGATATTGCCATGGTAAATGATATGAGGGACCTTCTAAGAGGAACACCATTCCCACATCCACTCACAAATACCATTAAAATATCTGAGGTCGACATCACAACAGGTAAAAGCAATGGTTCAGATATTAGTCCATTATAATTTCTTTCAAATTACCTAAAAGAAATTTTGAAAGACACAGATAAAAGTTTTTGTTGTTAAGCTGCACTTAGGAATAATTTTGATGGTTTACAAACGTTTGAAAAAATTCTTCTTTTCATCACCAAAGGAGAAACATAACTTTGCTGATATGAATAAATTCAACCCACTGCTTTCAGCTGACTATCTCATTCTTGCGTCCTCAGTTTGCTACCCGAATGGTACTGGATTCCGGTGCGTGTGCGA